GTCGGCAAGGAAAAACAAGGGTAGGGTATTCGGTTCGCCCGCCTGGCCACTCCCTTCGCGGGGATTTAGGTGCCTTTCAGCTTTGGCAAGTCAGTATAAACCCCTGACACGGATCAGACTCACAGGGAGGGACGAGGTCCCCCAGAGCCTGAAACTGCCCTGAGCCGTATGAGGTTCACCATGGTACCGCAGGTTGGGGCCCACTCAGACTCCGTAGGCAAGAACCGGTGGAGCCACACAGACATTCACTCACATTCACGCATCCATTCAACCGAGTTTAAACATTCCCGCCCAACGGGATGTCCCTGCCTGTGGTCAGTGGCCATGAGAGGTGATCAGTCTCTCCTTCCACCCTCAGGGTGGGCCTGGTCTTGGGCTTCTGGTCCCCGGGGCACTCACCAGTCCTGAAGAGATCTCGTCCCCGTGTTCGGGTTCATTCACCCCCTCCGACAGCCTGGGTGGGTGGACTCCGCCAGCGACCTTCCGCGGAACTCCGGACGGGCTAGGACCCGAAATAACCGGAGCACACGCTTCCCTCCCTGCCCCAGAGCTCCACAGACTCCCACGGGTCCCTCACTGGTGGCAAAAAGCCTGCTCGCGTGAGTCGTTTCCCGGTCAGAGAACCAAAATGTTACAGAAAGACTCAAATCGAACACCAGAGGAGGCGAAGTGATAAATTTATTTCACACATGCAGACCCAGAAGAGGCAGGCTCCAAATTCTGGGCCCCCAACTGCGAGCTCAGCGCAGCTTTACAGTACACAGGGCGGGACTTTCCTGTGGCGCGAAAGCAGCAGGCGGAGTTACAGAAGCAGGATGTGCGTTTGGTTAGGCAAGCAAAGATTCAAAATGGGGAAGCTCATCTAAAATGGCGGTAGATTCCTTATCAATAGCAGCATTACTTACAACAATCAAAACATGGAAGCAACCTAAGAGTCCATCAACAGATGATTAAAGAAGCTGTGGTATATAATATACAATGGAATGTTATTCAGTCAAAAAAAGGAATTCCTGCCATTTGCAACAACATGATTGAAACTTGAGGGCATTATGCTGAGTGAAATAAGGACAGAAATACTGTATGACCTCACTTATATGTAGAACCTTTAAAAACACACACACAAACTCATAGAAAAGATCAGATTTGTGGTTACCAGAGGTGGGGGGAGCGGGTGGGGGTGTGTCTCTGGATAAAGACAGTCATAGGTATGAAAACCGGACACAATGGGTCCAGGCTGCCTGTCACTACTTTAGCCAATTAAGCAGACACAAGGGTGAATCATGTATGTGCTTTTATTCCATTACTGCTGGCAAAATGGGAGAGCAGTGGGATTTGTCCACATAAAATTTGCTCTAACCCACCCCCCATAAGCCAGTTCCTTATATATTGGGTAGAAGGACAAAAATTACATGGGAAAGTGGGCAAACTGAGTAAGAATGGGTATAATGGTTTACAAGTTACTGGAAATGCAAATGTGGGCTGGGGGATGCAAAAGGGTAGGGTGTTGACAGGTGGAGGGGATTGGGCTAGGGGGTTGCAAATCAGTGGGGTGCTTCCAGGGGTCCTTTGTTTCTGAAACAAGGTTGTCAATCTTTCCATGATGATAGGCAGTTAAGGAGAATGGCTCACATTCCAAGGTCAACTCTCATGGGGCGTACAACTCCTAGCCAGGTTAGAAAGTACTTTTTCTAATTGGAACAGAACAATCACGGTCATCAGAGCATGATTAATATTTCTGCCCCCAACAGGTACACACTTCAAATTGTAAGACAAATAAGTACTGAGAATGTAATATACAATACGAGGACTACAGCTAACACTACATCAAACTAAAAACCTTCTGCACAGCAAAGGAAACAATCAACAAAATGCAAAGACAACCTACTGAATAGAACATATTTGCCAATGATATATCTGACAAGGGGTTAATATCCAAAATTTATAAAAAACTTATAAATCTCAACACCAAAAAACCCCAAACAATCCAATTAAAAAATGGGCAAAGGACCTGAATAGCCACTTCTCCAAAGAGGACATACAGATGGCCAAGAGACACACGAGAAAATGCTCAACGTCGCTAATCATCAGAGAGATGCAAATTAAAACCAAAATGAGATATCACCTCATAACTGTCAGAATGGCCACCATCAACAAACAAGTGTTGCTGAGGGTGTGGAGAAAAGGGAACCCTCGTCCACTGCTGGTGGGAATGCAGACTGGTGCAGCCACTGTGGAAAACAGTACGGAAGTTCCTCAAAAATTAAAAATGGAACTGCCGTATGACCCAGCGATTCCACTTTTGGGAATATAATCCCAAAACACTAATTTGAAAGAATATATGCACTCCTATGTTCATAGTAGCATTATTTACAATAGTCAAGATTTAGAAGCAGCCTAAGTGTTCACCAGTAGACAAGTGGATTAAAAAAAGCTGTGGTACACATTTACACAATGGAATACTACTTCGCCGTAAAAAGAAAAGGAAATCTTACCCTTTGTGATAACATTCGACCTAGAGAACTTTATACTAAGAGAAAGAAGCCAGTCAGAGAAAAGTCAAGTACCACAGGATTTCAGTTATATGTGGAATATAATGAACAAAAGAAATTAACAAACAAAATAGAAACAGATTCCTAGATAGAGAACAGACTGACATCTGTCAGAGGGGAGGGACACTGGGAAGGCTGGGTGAAAAAGGTGTAGGGATTAAGGGGGGGAAACTCATAGACACAGATAACAGTATAGTGGTTACCAAGGGAAAGGAAGCAGAAGAGGGTAAAGGAGGAATAAATGGTGATGGAAGGAGACTTGACTTGGGGTGGTGAACACACAATGCAGTGCACAGATGATATTATAGAACTGTACACCTGAAATCTATATAATTTTATTAACCAATGTCACCCCAATAAATTCAATAAAAAAGAATAGGTAAATAAGTTGGTAAGAACTCCTAAGAGTTCTCCTCACAAAAACAAAAATCACTTTTATGGATAGTAACTAAAGGTATAATGGTAATCATTTCACAATGTACGTAAGTCAAGTACACTTTGACTTGCTGTACACCTTGAACTTGTACAGCGATGTACGTCAATGTATCTTAGTATACCAGAGGAAAACAAAGAGCTCCTCCGTGAGAAAAAGGCCAACTACTCAACAGGAAAAAATGACAGAACAGACATTTCAAAAGCAGAGACTACCAAATGGTCTATAAGCACAGGAAAAGGTATCCAATCTCATGCGCAATTATGCAAAACTAAAATTAAAAAGTGACACCATGACAATACTCAATAAAAACGACTCAAATTCAAAAGTCTGAAAATATCAAGTGTTGATGGGCATGTGAAGCAATGACAGTAGGGCTGAAAAACCTCTTGGGAAGTGGTGTGGGATTATCTACTGAAGATGAACATATGCTTTACTAGTGATCCAGCCATTCTACTCCTGGAATCACAACCGTAAGAAAGCAAATGTAAAACATGACTATTCATAGCAGTCAAAAACTAGCAAAGAACCCCAGAGTCTACCAGCAACAGCGTGAATAAATCTGGCACATTCATAAAGTGGATACTGCACAGCAATGAAAACAAATGAACTACAGCTACAAGCAACAACAGGTGAATGAGAAACATGATGTTAGCAAAAGAGGTGCACATACAAAGGAATTCGATGTGATTCCTTTTTACTTAAACATAGATCAGGCAAAGCTAAACTAGTATACAGTGTTTAGCGACATATACTTAGGTGGTAGTAAATCTATAAAGTAAAGCATGGCCCTGGCTGGGTGGCTCCATTGGCTGGAGTGTTGTCCCTTACACCAAAAGGCTGCAGGTTCAATGCCTCATCAGGGCACTTATGGGAGGCAACCAATGGATGTTTCTCTTTCACATCAATGTTTCTCTCTCACATCGATGTTTTTCTGTGTCCCTCTCCCTTCCTCTAAAATCCAATTTTTAAAAAGCCTTTAAAAAAATACTTAAGAAAAAAAGTATCTCTGTATCTACCTACCCTCCTATCTAGTGTTAAGTTAGGGGGCACAATTACTCTTCACTCTCATGGTTTCCTCGTGATTTTCCCCAAACTGCCCTCCATTACCACCTCTGGCCTAGTCAAGATTGACCTAACCAGTGGGTTTGGAGCAGAAGCTGAGCGTGCTGGGCCCAGCTTCCCCGCCTTTTCCTCTTCAAACATGCCTGCAGAGAGGATGATGTCTCATCTGTCCCCAGCCACATAGAAGCTTAGCTGCAAGTTCTGATGGGGGAGTGGGGAGTAGGCCTCAAGTGTTAGGTGGCAAGTTCTGGGCTACTCCCTCCAACTGGAGATTCATAAAACTAATAAAGGTAGTATTTTGGTGACTGACTTCTGTATCTCATTTGAAACTGGCAGGAGAAAAGAGGATGTTATTTACGCTGGCCCTAATACAACAAGAACTAACAAATGAACCCTGGCTGGTTTGCCCAGTGGTCAGAGCGCTGGCCTGCGGACTGAAGGGTCCCAGGTTCTATGCCAGCCAAGGGCACGTACCTCAGTTGCAGGCTCCATCCCCGGCCCCAGTCAGGGTGTGTGTGGGAGGCAACCAATCGATCTCTCTCTCTCACTTTGATGTTTCTCTCTTCCCCTTCCTTTCTCTGAAAAAGCAATGGAAAAAATATCCTTAGGGGAGTAAAAAAAAGAACTAACAGGTGATTCTTTTCCTAGGACAAAGGAAAGTTCACTGTTTTCCTTTCCTTGCCACTGACAACCAGGGAGTGACCTCCTACATATACTAGAATTCAACAAGTAATTATGAGGTAACAAAGTCTGCAACAAAGACCTATACTATCTATATTTAGAATTATGTGATACTATTAATATTTTTTAAGTTAATGACTTAAAATCTTAATGAGTTCAAGAATTATAGAATTGTGGGGGAAGGTGAAGAACAATTCAGAATACTACAAGGTGCTAAAACCCCAAGCCCAAAGTTGTAATATAATGGCAGGAGTTCTGGAATGAGAGAGGCCAGAAAATCCATACAAAGAGCAATGCTGGGCAGGAAAGCCACAAGCCTTGCTGGCTCAGCCCTCTGCTTTCCTTGATAAAGCTGTAACACCCAATCTATTCCTCAGGGTCTCCTAGCCAAGAAACTGTAGGGTAAAAAGAAAATTCTCTTCCTGCTCCTGAAAAAAAGCACTGTGCTCCTTCTCATTTTAAACATGTTATTGCTAATTACTATGGGAAAGAGGGATCATGAACTTGGGGAATTCATTCTACATTTATTGAGCAATAAGTGCCATAAGATGTGTTAGGTTACTAGGGATAAAGATAAAAGTCCATTTTTATTCTTATAGATACACAAACAAAAACAAGGTTAGGGGTGGGGGGGGGCAGGTACGGGTGCTATGAGAGCCAGAGTAGTTCAGATAACCAGCCAGGAATTATAGAAATGACAACCTGTGTAAGGCTTTAAATGGTAAGAACTGAACCAGTGTTCGGGGAACTGTGGGAAGCTCAGAATGGCAGGTGCATGTGGTACAAAGAAGTGGAGAGGCCACGTCACATACACTGTGCTATACCTGCCATGCGAAGGAGTGTGGATGTGACCCTGAGGATACTGAAGAGCTGCTGAAAAGTGGAGGGAGAAGATCAATCTGTGCTTGAACCGGAAAGAGGCAAAGGGGCAGGGAGAGAAGGGCAGTGGTTGCAATAACTCTTAGAACTCAGTAACAAATTAGTTGGGAAGGCTGAGAGGGGAAAATCCCAGGTTTTGTCCTAAAACTGAGGGACCAGAACTCTTAGCCAAAATATGAAAACAAAAGTAATCTCTTTGTTCTTATGAGAAGATACTGCGTCCAACTGTTCAAGACCTGAACAAACGGAAAGCAAACCACATTCTCGGAGGGGAAGATAACATAAAAAATGCGAACTCTACCCAAATTAAGTTATGTTTTTAACACTTTTCCATTTAGAATCACAGCAAGTTTTTGT